CAACCCAAGGGTCAGGAGTTCGGTGTACGTTGGAGAGTGAGCCCCAGCAACTCAAACTCTGGGGGCCCCCCTTTTGCTGGGTGCGGGTGCCGTTTGCCTCTCTGCAAGGGCACCACGCCGCACTTCAGAAATTATTTAAAAATATTTTGGGGCTCTTGAAACTCCCGCTAAGCATCTGGAAATGTGCTCTGGTCCCCCGGCTTGACCTGGATAGAAACCCCCAAGTTCAGACCCGCGCGGACGACGGTCAATCTCTAGCGACTAGGGGGCCACGCGACCTTGCAGACTGGCGTGCTCACTGGGCCAGGCAGCCTGTGCGAGGGTGCTCAGGGGTCTGCTACTTGAACAAAGGGTTCCCCCCAAATATCGATCGCTATGTCCCGTTTGGTGATTCCTGGCTGCCGCGAGGCCCCTCGTGCCTGTCCAGCGCCCCCGCCGCCGCTCCCCGCCCTGCCCCCAATTATTAATAAACACTTTTGCTTTGCAATAAAGGAGCAAAGATGGCGCATAATACTGACACGAGCGGGCCTTGCATACGTGTCCACCGATATTAATTTAAAAATCAAATCTATGCCCCCTCCCCCCCGAGCTGGCGGAGGAGGCCACCGCCGAGGCGCAGCAGGAATGGGGCGCAAGCCGGGGGCTACAAAAGGCGCCCAGCCCGCACCCTCTGGGGTGTCCCTGCCATCGTCCTCCCTCGAAAGCCCTCCTCCCTGACTGCCCCCCACCAAGAAAAGGAATCCCCATTACCCCAACTCCTACACCTTCCTCGTTTAAAAATACCGGCAGTATCTATTTATTTTGAGAATCCGATTCCTAGCAACACTGCGGGAAAACTCCGTGTCTGAAGGGAAGAGAAGGGAGGAAGATGTGGGTGGGAGCAACAAGTTGCCAGGGGTCCCAAGCCAGAAGGCTGTAGCCCCTCACCTCCAGCATCCAGGTGGCCACGATTTTCCGCATGGACGGCACAATCTCCCTCTGCACGCACTTGAAGTAAGACACGGAGGGCGCGCAGGTCTCCTCGGTCTTGAGCATGGCTCGCAGCACTCGGTCGTTCAGGAGGTTGGTGTCAGGGTACGCGCGGCGGATGGTCTCCACTTCGCAGCACAGGAGCTGGTGTTCCATGGCGCGGCCGCCTGGGGAGGGCTGTGGTCCTGGTTGGGCTCCGGTGGCTGCTGCTGGCGCGCGCTGCCTCGCGCTCTACTGCCGGTCTCTGGAGCGCGCGGAGTCTGCTGCTCTCTGCTACTGCGCCGACAGCCCTCTGGAGGCTGCAGGACTTTGCAACTTCAACAAAACTCCCCTGTAGTCCGTGTGACGTTACTGTTGTTAAGCAGAGATCAAAGCTAGGCAGAGAAAGGGAGGAGGGAGGGACGGGGCGGGCGCAGGGGGAGGGGGCTCGGGAGCTGCAAACGGCTAGGGGACAAGCCCAAAGCGCCCCCCCTCCAGCTCGACCTTCGTAGATATGCAAATCGCTCGGACTGCTTCTCTCCAAGCTGGGAAAAAGCGGTGCGAGGGTGGTAGTGGTGGGGTGTCTTCTTTCCCCACTTTCCTCAGAAGTGGCTCCTCTGAGATCTGTGGAGGGGGCGGGGGAGGGGAGCTCTGGACAGGACAGCTAGGAGGGAGGCCAGGCCACACGCAAGCCAGAGAAGACTGAATGGATGGGGGATCTTGGGGACCCAAGGACACCCTATATTCAAGCCAGGAGAATGGGCACGTTTCCGAGGACGCCACGAGGGCACCCACGGGCGGACGGATTGCTTAGAAATCCCGGCGTCCCCATCTTCTTTCAATTTCATCAACACGTGTAAAATTCAGGAACTGTTCAACAAGCGAAGATGCTGGACGTACCCTAAGCTCCGGTGCAGGCTCCATCCTAGTGCACTGGGGGTCTTTGCAAAGGGCCAGAGATGTAGCCTAGCATGCACTCGCTCAAAAATAAAATCTCAAAAATCCCAGCAACAGTTCAAGATGGTGGCCATTATTTCTTTCATCCAATCCTCCTCGCGGGAGGAATCTTCGATTTGCCTTCCTACGGTGACCAGTTCATTCTGGCCAGGTTCCTCCAGTGCGGGCGATTTACCCAAGAAAAATAAACCTTTGAAGGAAAGGCTGAGACACGATGGGCTGTTTCCTAATTTATTTTTTAATTAAGAAAACTAAATCACTGCAAGTATTAGTCACCTTGCCAGGAACCAGACCACCGGAAATTTTCCGATAGGCTTTGTTGGGGGTGTGGCCGTTCCTCTACCTTTAGAACCTTAGTTGGGGCGGCATTCGTGAGTTCCTGGGGGGCTGGTCGGAATCAAGACAAATGTGTGCGCCTATGTGATGCGTAGAGAAAACTTACAGATGTTCGTGGTTACACGAGTGGATTCCCAATATTCTCTTAATACTTAGTCAAGTAAAAGTTTTTAGGATGAAAGGGTTCCACCACCTAAGTCTGTTAATCCCCTTTTCTTTAAAGTTTTCACAATCCTGACCCCAACTCAGGAGAACTAGTCACGTATTTCCCCCGGAATAGTTTTGTGGCCCCAGGAGTGAATGGGACGAAACTGGGAAAGGAGCGCAGAGGGACACGGTCCACGCAAGAAGCAAACCCCCTCATCTTCGGGGCGCATTTCTCCCGCTCTACCGATATTGGGGTCCCTAATATCTAGGTCCTGTGGGACAGTGATCCCATTGCAGCTCTGAAGGTGGTGGGTGGCCCGGGCAGTGCGCCCACGCTTGCTCTGGCCACAGGCCCCGCCAAGCCTGGGAGCCTCAGCCTGAGCACGAGGGCGGCCCGGCAGCCTTTTCATTCATAAAATCCCTACCGGGCGGCAGTAAGCATGATTTATGGGGCTGCGCACTATCACCCGCGGCTGAGTGCTTGCGAGCGGAGTACGCGGGCCTGGCCAGGGTGCGCTATCGAGGGCAGCGGGGCATAAAGAGGCTCGCCCACCCAGCAGCACGAGCT